ATACCTACTGTCCTATCTCAAGACATAATTGCAAGCTCATTGACATGACATGACCAGTTTTTGACATCATGACCAAGTTTGCCTTTTACGCTGTCTGCTTTCACATTGATAACTACTGGCCTGTCCCAAACATAGTCAACTTTGATACAGGTCTTTGAGGGCTGTAGGATGATGGGCTGATTCATCCTTTGAGGTGTCTTGAAGACAGGTCATGTTGTAAGTTGACCATGTATTGAGTAGATATCAACATGAATAGCCTTCTCTAGCTTGAAAGCCAACTTGGGCATGATGTGAGGAACTGATGATGTGGCAATAGCAATATGTAAAGTCATGTCAATCCTTCAGCCATATCCCCATATGAGCTTACAATTATGTCTTGAGATAGGACAGTAGGTATCAATATGAAAGACATAGAATGGCCTTTCCTAATGTGAAAGACAACTTGTGCATGATGTCAAATACTAATGCTGCAGCACTGGCAATATGATGGCAATCCTTCAACCTCATCCCCATAACATAGATAGGGCCAAGGACACCATAAACTACATGTCAACTACAAACTTTTTTAAATGAAAAAGCAGACACTACAAACTCTTCTAATAAAAAAGCACACACTACAAACTTTCCTAATGAAAAAGCGCAACACTACAACTTTTGTAGTCTCAAAAAGCGGTCACTACAAACTTTTTTAATGAAAAAGCGCACCACTACAACTTTTGTAGTCTCAAAAAGCGGTCACTACAAACTTTTTTAATGAAAAAGCGCACACTACAAACTTTGTAGTCAAGATAACCTTTTGACTCTAACCCTAACTATGTAGTCTAAGTCCATGCTTTTGTAGTCTAAGTTCGACTTTTGTAGTCTTTTGTAGTGTATTAGTAAATTTTGTAGTCTAATTTCGACTTTTGTAGTCTTTTATAGTGTATCAGTAAACTGTGTAGTCTAAGTCCGACTTTTTTGTAGTCTATCAGTAAACTTGGTAGTCTATATCTGATTCTTATAGTACAGGATGCACCTTCCTTTTTTGGTCATTTTCCCCACGATACAATAATTGTAGCCCTTTCTTTTAGCTTTCTGAATATACTGAAATCATGTTATTTGGTTTTGTTTTTATAGAGAAAAACACAAAAAAAAAAAAAACACGATGCTTTTGAAATTCCTTTACCTAATATCTCCACAACGGGAGCACTTCAGAACATAATTCAAACAGATTCGGGAAGCTACAGTGCAGGGCTACAACTTTCGTTTTTTGACCATTTTTCGTAATTGGCCATGTGACCACCCTCCAGGGAAGCCCATTGCATGGACCCTGACATGTGGGATACATTTGAAAAATTGCAATGAAATATCCAGGGATACATTTGAAAAATCACAATGAAATACCCAGGAATATATTTGAAAAATTGCAATGAAATACCCAGGAATACATTTGAAAAATCGCAATGAAATGCCCAGGGCTACATTTGAAATTTTGCAATGAAATACCCAGGAGTATCTATTGAAAAATCGCAATGAAATACCCAGGGTATCTATTTGAAAAATTGCAATTAAATACCAAGGTATCCATTTGAAAAATTGCAATGAAATATCCAGGAATACATTTGAAAAATCGCAATGAAATACCCAGGGTATCTATTGAAAAATCGCAATTAAATGCCCAGGTATACATTTGAAATTTTGCAATGAAATGTCCAGGGATACATTTGAAAAATCGCAATGAAATACCCAGGGTATCTATTGAAAAATCGCAATTAAATGCGCCAGGTATACATTTGAAATTTTGCAATGAAATGTCCAGGGTATCTATTTGAAAAATCGCAATGAAATGCCCAGGGCTATATATTGAAAAATCGCAATGAAATACCCAGGAATACATTTGAAAAATCGCAATGAAATGCCCAGGGTATCTATTGAAAAATCGCAATGAAATGCCCAGGGCTATATTTGAAAAATATCGCAATGAAATACCCAGGGTATCTATTGAAAAATCGCAATGAAATGTGCCAGGTATCCATTGAAAAATCGCAATGAAATGCCCAGGGTATCTATTGAAAAATCGCAATGAAATACCCAGGGATACATTTGAAAAATCGCAATGAAATACCCAGGGTATCTATTGAAAAATCGCAATGAAATATCCAGGGATACATTTGAAAAATCACAATGAAATATCCAGGGCTGCATTTGAAATTTCGCAGAAAATGCGCTGGGTATCTATGGAAAATTCACTATGAAATACCCAGGCCTACATTTGAAATGCCTTTCAAAAAATCCTAAGCATTATAGATATAGCCTCTAGGCTTAAGTCTAAGTTATAGAAATGACTCTCTAGGCTTAAGTCTAGGTTATAGATAAAAGTGGTAGCCACCAGTCTCTGTCATCCGTCAACTTTTTCTTGAAGGATAGCTTTCGCCTTGACGAAGTCCTGGACTCATCCGATTATGACTTTGAGATAGTAGCCTTGCGACCAGGTGACAGACTGTAAGTTCATTATTGTTATACCCTATGCAATCTTTGACTAAATACATTGGAAAAGCTTTATGATGCCTTGCCAACCTCATTTTGTCTTTGGTTATGCTCACTCAATATGTCTTGGTGGGCATTCTTACCTTACGCACCACATGCAAGGGACACTCCGAGGCCTCATACATTCATTCGTCTTACACGAATTCCTGACCAATATTGCTCATCCCACTCATGTTCTGTTGCGTCGTATGGTTCTCTTTTATCATATGGGCTTAATCGAAGATGAGATCCCAGAATCTGGTATACTTCCTGTCTCCCCCATCAACTTTTGTCTTACATCCATGCAACAGATCCCGCCGCATCTCATTTGCCAGACATCAAAGACTTCACTGGTTTAATGGATTTACTTTCAGCTTGTGTCCTCGTAATCTTAGGGAATGTCCTCGATTTTAGGACTTATCGCGCACCCTCTCAAGACGAATACAAGAAGGCCAATAAAAATCAGCAGATTCTGATTGACCATGAAATCAACAGCATCACTATCAGGGAAAGATTTGCCATCTGCTATGCTCGGGGAGTTGCTCTCCATCTCATTAACTGGATACGCATCTGCTCCGAGATCAGGGGACCTGGAGGTGCCGTTATCACTGACTTGCCCTCTCGCTTTTTCATTCAGATCACCCAAACCTTGATCAAGTACAAAGAAGGTGCAAATACTTCAAAGCTTGATTTACAGGCAAATTGCACGTTGGGCATGCTTATGAAGCAGATCGAAAACATTGTAAAGGTTGATCCCCATATTCTTACTTGGTGGTCGGAACGACATTTGCTACCTTCCGGATCGCTGGCACTGGAGAACCAGGAGGAGTACTCTGTTCGGTGGCCTGAGTCCCGACGTAAAGAATGGTCAAGCATCAACCATGGTATGTTTTGAATCTTGGATGTGCTATGCCAGCTCACACTCTGTCATCAGAATTCATGGAGGATGGTATTACACCATTAGACCGACTGTGCTTTGAGTCCCAACAAGATCGTCAACATTTTGAATCATCGATGGTCATTCCTCATTTGAAAACGAATTCCTCTGCCATGCAACATCCCCCCAAGCGTAGTAAGCGCTCTGGTTCTGAGAGGAATAGCCAGGGAGCGTCTGGGGACGATGATTGACCTGGTTCGTTTGTTCCCTTCATCGTTTCTAATCATGCATCAGACCCACCTTTTACCCTAGGCATCTCTGTGCTTCTGTGTATACCATGTATTTGTTCAGTATCCTCATGAAATGGAACATCACATTTATCATTACATTTGTATGTTGTGACATCACCCTAGCCTGTAAGACCCACCAGACGTGCCGAAATCCATACCCTTACACCTGGACCCTTGGTTATTCCAGTAGAATATGTGCACGTGCACCTAGCTAATGGTCTCCAACCGTGATCACAGACGTCAGTGAGTCTTATCATCTCCACCCACTCAACACCAGTGATTGCAGATCACTTATTGCGCATGCAAAGACGCGAAGCCTATCGATCGTGATTTGCAAATGCAATATGCAAAAAAGGAGGGACCGTTGAGGAGGACGGTCAAAGGGGCCATTGGTGAGGAGAAATCAGAAGAAGGCTACCATTATTTCTGATGCATCATCCGGCGAAGATCTGGAGGAACGCGCTACAGTGCTG